ATATTTTAATAATTTAATTTAATATAATTTACATTATCTTTTAAATTAAATTTCATTTAATATAATTTACATTATCTTTTAAATTAAATTTTATTTATTCATTTGTAATGTCCAAGTATATTTAACTTTACCACATCTAGCACTAAAGCTTGAGTGGTGTAGTGGTTGGTTGCTTGCCATGCTCTTTAGGAGGTCACAGGTTTGATCCCATGAGACAACATTTTTTTTAAATTTAATTTCTCGCGATATATTCAATATATCGTGAGAAATTCAATTTATTATAAATATATATATAATATTCGAAGGGTATAACGAGGTTTCTATAAAAAAAAATTAACACCGTTAACTGAAGATTGAAAAAAGGGGACGTGTGCATCGGTTACTTAAACACAAGGGGGTATGGTGCAGTTTTTAAAACACGGTGGGGAAATGCGCACATTTCGTTAAACACAGGGGAGTTTGGTGCAATTTACCCCTTTGATTTTTGTTTCATTATTTTTATTCTCCTTAAGCCGTCTTTTTTATATTCACAAACCACACAAACTACAATCTTAAGACGAAATTTTTTGTGAGTTTATAAGATGACAACTGAAGGAAACCAAACGTCTTCTTCAAATGCTCAACTGACTGCTACACCGGCTACTAATCCTTTCACCCCGAAAGTGAGACCAATGTTAAAAAACATATGGTCATGGATGCTTGGCATCGTAGTGATTTCTTGTGTAGAAATCTAATAATTAACGGACTAGACAATACACTATGTAATGTGTATAGCCGGTTAAGATGTCTAAGGAGTTGTAGAACTCTTTGGAAGCAACGTGCAAAACGGAAGATAACGACACTAAAACTTTTGTCGGTAAGTTCCTCTAGTACGATATGATTGACACAAAGTTGGTGGTTAATCAAGTTTAAGAGATTCAAATCCTTCATGATATGATGATCGAGGAATTGATTGTGAACGTAGCCTTTCAAGTGACGACTAATGTTGAAAAACTGTCTCCTTTGTGGAACGACTTCAAGAGTTATCTCATACATAGATAAAAAGAGATAAAACTCGAGGACTTGA